GCGTGCGTGCGTGCGTGCGTGCGTGCGTGCGTGCGTGCGTGCGTGCGTGCGTGTGTAGTCGCATCTCAATTTTTCTTACAAACGCAGGAAAATAAGCATTAATTTCTGTCACAGTACCAATCATTGGTTATTGTGTAATAATTTTAATTTTTATTAAACAATTTTATCATTTTGACTATTTGTATTTTATAATTATTATTAAAACTGCATTCCGTTAATACTATATTTATTAAATTAATTAAATACAATGTTATTTATTATTATGTTGTATTTAATTTATAAAATTCTAGTAAAATTGTAAGTTACAATAGAGAATGCATCTTTTTTTAACTTTATAGGTTGTACAGGAGTACGAAAGAGCTGTCATATTTCGATTAGGACGTCTTCTATCAGGCGGTGCTAAAGGTCCCGGTAAGAAATTAACACTATTACATTAATCAATTTGTTAAAAAAACTATGTAGGGGAAAGGGGGATTAGATGACAAAGATAACGAACAGTTAATTTTTTTAAGTTATTAATAAATGAAGAACAGATACTTAACTCATTAAAGACTTTAGGTAATAATATATAATCTAATATAGTTTGAATTTAATCCGATCACAAAAGTATTATATTATAGATATTATATTAAGAAATGTGTTTTTGATGCACTCGCATGTAATTTTGTGGTATTTGTATGTAAGGAATAACATAGTTATAGTAAATACTCTCATTTTTTAAATAAAATCGCAATATTGTGTAGCTAGAGGCGAACAAAGTAGATTTTAGAATTTGGATGTCTTCAAGTTTTATCGAGATGAGCATTTAACCTTGTTTATTATTTAATAAATAAATATTTGGCAATAAAATCTTCATGTAGTGATAGAGTAAGGTCGTACTAATAGAAAAATACGGGATATGTTGAATTGTTTAATTATAGAAGTTAGATTTGATGATCGTAAAGCTATAAGGCGTGAAAATCGTAATATGAGATACCCAGGTATTCCTAATATGAAATATTAGGAATGCTCCTATGTTATAGTGAAAATCGTTGCTAAAATATAAATGTTATTGTATAATAATAAAAAAGACAACCGGTATGAACGTCGAGTGCCTATATCTGCGATGCTTGATTCCAACTGAAAACAAGTTCTAAGTATAATCTATTGTATGCTCATTTTTCGCGCACGCTGGCTATGTTTGTTCGTATTTTAGAAACATTAAATAAAGTTGTTTAATTGTAATATTGATATACTTTCCGTTTTACTATCGATTTTTCGGGACATCTCATATTAGGAGCACAATCTTTTCATTTTGTGTTTTGCTCACTTTTTACATTTCTTTAATTTAAAAAAAAATGGCATTTTAATTAAATTTTAGGTAACGTTATCTTAAAGCTTATTAAATTCCTTTCAAAATGATCTATCATTTTTTTTAATTCTGCTTATAGACTTCTAGCATTTACCCAAAATGAATTCGATATCTCATAATAGGGACCTTTCCTCTAGTATTTATAACTCTACACGGTAAAAATATTGTGTTGGAAACGATCCACTCACGTTCTTGCTAACAGTTTATGTTGAATTTTTTAACATATTCGAGTTATGTTAATTTAACATAATGTGATTATGTTGATCGAAGATATTGTGTTAAATTAATATAATATTTATTAGTATCAAAATGACACAATTTATGAGTAAGTAAACAAGTAACATAAAAGTGATGTATTTTAAAATATAAATTCTAAGATAATGAAATATGTGTTAATTTAACACATCATAAATGTTAATTATACTGAACAAATACACCTCCACAGTTTGTTTACAGACTGTATTAATATTATCTTTTTTATGATCATTTTTTTTATACAATATCTGTGTTTTCCATCATATTTATTTTATGTTAAATAAATACAAAAATTTGAGTGGATCGTTTGGGACGTGTCAAACGTGTTATATTTGACACAAATTTCTCAACTATGTATGCTATTATATTATGAGAAAAAGTTCTAAATTTTTCGTACTTGCTAACTAAAATTGAAAATTATAAAATTAGATAATTTGATTCGTATTTACGATACTTTTTCTACAGCTCATCCTATTTTAAATATGTTATGCAACGTGTATGAGCGCTTCAATATGTTACGTACGATTTGTTGTCGATTATACATCGAAGTAATTAAACTGTTCACTTATAGGAATCTTTTTCATCCTGCCATGTGTGGACAACTACGCCCGCGTCGATTTGCGAACGCGAACATATGACGTACCCCCGCAAGAGGTAATTGCACGCAATCCTTATTATAATAATTCTTACTATAATAATCGTAACTTGAATTTCATTTGGATATTATTGGACATTATTTGTATCAATATATATTCTTTAGAAAATATACCACCTTGATCAAAAGTTCCCGGAATTACCACCAGGTGATGCTCTGAGTCAGCTGATTTGAGTTCTGTTTTTTTTGGTTAGGTTGCCACATCTATCATTGACATTTCCACCAAATTTTATCGCCATAGCTTGACATTTGTAAAAGTTACGCCGTCTTGAGTACATCTAGTACATCTGGAGTTGAATTTGCAACATCCGTGAATTTTTGACCAAGAACGAAACGAATACATCCAACAGCCATTGAATTCACCCGATATGGCTCCCTGTAATTTTTTTCTGTTCGATCGAGTCAAAAAACCACGGATGTTGCAAATTCAACTCCATTTTTAAAACTGTAAAAAATCGAAAACCGTGCAGAGGTAGATGTACTCAAGACGGCGTAACTGTTACAAATGTCAAGCTATGGCGATAAAATTTGGTGGAAATGTCAATGATAGATGTGGCAACCTAACCAAAAAAATAGAACTCAAATCAACTGACTCAGAGCATCACCTGGTGGTAATTCCGGGAACTTTTTGATCAAAGTGGTAAGATTGGTGCGGGGTCCTTTAAATTTTGTTCTATTTTAACAAACTTACAGTTTCTTGTATTTTAACCTCCGTAGCGCTATAAACTTTTGTTTCAATTTATTATATTTTAAAAACATATTGATGTATACATATATAATTATCCATTTATATTAGGTTTTGACAAAGGATAGCGTTACGGTATCCGTTGATGCAGTAGTTTACTACCGTGTTAATAACGCTACCATTTCGATTGCGAATGTGGAGAACGCTCATCATAGTACAAGGTTACTGGCTCAAACGACTTTAAGGAATACCATGGGGACGCGACCACTTCATGAAATATTGAGTGAGCGGGAGACAATCTCCGGAAACATGCAGGTATAAGAAAAATTTAGGTACAATTATGCACGCTATGTATCCTAAGGGAAAAAAAATATTAATCATTTTGAAAAAGAAAAAATATACGTCAAGTTCATAAAAGGTAACGAATATTACATTCTTCTTAACGGATACGAAATAAATACAATTAGCAAAGTATTTCATTACATAAGACACATAAGATGGACTGAAAGTGATTAAAGTAGTCAACTATTGTAGTGAAGAAAAAAACTTTGTGTGTCCGGGTCATATTAAAACGCAATATTCTAGAATCAATATATTTCCGTAATACAGAAATTATTTGCATATATCATGTCCTTGAATATTCTTCGATCCTGGAATTATACTAGAATTTTATATATTCCCGCAAATTTCTGGAAAATCTCTGAAATTTCAGAGCTGGCCTGGAGTTTATCATTTTTTCATTTTGAAAAAATCGAAGCGAAAAAAAAAAAGAAATAATAAAAGGAAAAATTGTATTTGGACATAAATCTTCCTCTACAGCACGAAATATTGCAGCAATATTATTTTAGAAGATTGCAATATTTCATAAAACATTGCTGCAACAATAGTCCTATGTTTGCAAAAATAAAATATTGTTGCAATATTTAGAGAAATATTGCATACATATTGCTATAACATTATGCAATATTTTAATAATTATTCTGGTTTTATTAATTGTTAACATATTATTGTTTAGCATCGTATTTAAAAATACATACAATAAAGTTATGATCAAAAAATATTCGGGGGCCTAGAAAACATATTCAAAAAAGGTTGGGAATCTCCAGGAGATTCGCTAACTCAATTTGCGTATTCTTTCTTATAGAACTCCTGAATGTTTCCTCCTTACGAGAGGCGTATAATACTCTCATAAGGAGAAAACACGGCGAGGCTGCGTAGGTATTTATTTTCATCCGATTATTTATTTTCACCTTATTATTATGTTCAATTATTGACCTATATATTACTTAATTTAATTAAAAAAAAAAAGGGTTTTAAAGCACGAAATTTCTACTTTCAAATGGTTACTATATATTGTTTTAATTTATGTGAGTTTTTTTGTAATTTTTACATACTTATAGAAAACTACGAGCGGAAAAAAATGAAAAATTTTCTTTTTACTTTGTAGATGTGTCGCGTGCCCAAAAAAATTTGAGCAAATTTTCTACTATACATCGTGAAAGTTTGAAGCGTTCCCTACAAAATCGTTTTTTAAAAATGTTTCTACGATTTGTTTGTTCCTGAGTTACTCGCGGATTAAGTAAAAAGGAACATTCTGACTTTATTGCTCGTTATTCCGTTAAAAATCATCGTATCGCAATTAAAAATACAGATTCTTAAAGCTGAAATGTTGCTCTATCAAGTGATGTAATTACTAATTTTTTAAAAATAGAATATAAGGGTTGCTAAAAAAAGTCTTTTTATCAACTCGCGTAAAGGGATTTTTTCCTAATCCAATAATTTATAATAAAGTTTAGTATAATAGTAAAACCATGAATATAAGCAGACACAGGATGTGCATGCGTAAAATTATTTTATTAAAAATTCGATAGACGTTTCGACCTCAGTTTTGAGTTATCCTCAGTACATAATTGACGTATTGTGAAATTACATAAGACGGTAACATAAATTGTGCGTTAAGAATTTCAATTTTATGTATAAAAAATCCAACGGTAAAATTTTCGAACGTCTTAGTATCTGGCAGGACACTTAGATTAGTGAGTCAATCAATAAAAGCTATCCCATCTAACGCTAAATATTCACAGAAAGTTCGATTCGTATTACCAATGTACTGAATGTTCCGGAACAGTAAAAAAATCGTCATAGAATGTGCAAATGTCGATGAAATATTCAGAACATTGTATAAATATTCTTTGTATATTTCACGAAAATCGCTAGCGAGAGAGCAATACACATCTCTGCCGACAGAGGGCGACGTCGAAGAGCATTTACTCGTAAACAGTAGTGCACGATGGTATATACAGATGTCGCTATCGCTCTCCATTAGTATACAAAATAAGTTACTTATCAAACTACCCTTGTAGAAAGTTTGTTTAATTAATGCAGAATGTATATATAGTGCTGTATCGAGTGGAGATGACAGATATCTTAACCTCTAAAATGTCGAACTTCAACGCTTAATATCTCGGTTCACGAGGTTGATCATCGCATTTTTTTGTCAAATTCTTTCATTTTGAGTGAAAACGCGTCGAATAAGTACATTTTTATTAAAATTCTAGAATAGGACCAGTATTCTAAATAATTACCCTGAGTAAATTTTAATCAAAAGTTTATCAGTGTCAAAACTCCAGATAAAGCTAGCGGTAACATCGCGAATTTATCCAGATAACAAAATGCCCGCACAGTGATATCATGGTGCGGATTGTGATGCACGGTTTGGGCGCTTCTCAGTGAGAAATGACAATGGAATCGACATCGAATCGACGTCGAAATCATCGAATCGACGTCAATCAAAGACATACGAAATCGACGTCGATTTGACGTCAATTTGACGTCGATTCCATTGTCATTTCTCACTGGGTTATCACCACACATACGCATCCTCATATAAGATTCATATTGGTCGCACGCGTGCTACTAATATGAGGACGTGTGTCTTTGATTCACAGATATGTAGGTATTCTCATCCGCCATTTTGGTTCCACTTGATTGATAGGTTATAAAACGTATCGATTCAGTGTATTTTTATCAAAATTTGAGGTAAGTGCGGGTTCTTCTTAATGTTTACCTTTGCCACTAATCGTACTATGACCTGAAAATCAAGTGGAACCAAAATGGCGAATAAGAATATATATCTAGTGCCTTAATCCACATGTGACTCACATGACCCGCAAGAGTGACGTTGCACGCATATATATTTCATATTGCTCGCATACTGCATGCATAGCAGCTGTAGTGGCTTAACGGCTACATTAACGTCTGCATTATAGGCGGAAGAGGGAAGGGGGGCAAGGAGTATTTGACGTTATTATTATTATTACTATTACTTATATATTTTAGATCATGCCCCCCTTGGAAAAAATCCTTCGGATATCCATACTATAGTCTGTTCTACAATATGGGACTGTAAGATATAAGTAGTAAAAAATTGACCCATCATAGTCGAATATGAAAAAAATATGTGCGTGATACTCACGGCGTGATTGCATAATGCGATTCATTGCGTTCGCACGCGTACCCCCATCACGTAGTGCGGCAGAATGACATTCATTGTGTGAGCCAGTGTTACCAGATCTGAGCCGCGCAACGCCACATAAACAAAAATTCGAGCGACGTACGTGTGCGCTCGGCGTTTCGGCTATTGGGCGAGCGAGAATCGTACAGCGAGAGGGAGTTGTTCCTACTGCGCCCGAAGGTAGCCGAAACGCCGAGCGCACACGTACGTCGCTCGGCTTTTGTGTGCGTGGCGTTGCGCGGCTCAGATCTAGTGCCATTGGTGAGGGCACGGTATGATATGCACGCATGAAGGCAATATGAGCACGCACGAATGTTATCTGAGTAACAGCTGCACGAACGTATACCCAGTGACGTTTACACTTCAAGCGACCCGGTTCATATCTTTTATGCTTGGCGTTGAGACGCTACTGCGTCACTTGTATTATATATTAATAACATTTTGACGATTTTCTATGTTAGGTTGCCCTAGACGAAGCGACTGATACGTGGGGAATAAAAGTGGAACGAGTCGAAATGTAAGTATATAAATTGCCTATTTTGTAGCAGTAACGACGTATTCAATGAAATATAACTTTTTTTATGTGGCGATTGTGGCATAGAGTACAGTGCGGCTGCTTTCTATGCCGAAGATCCAGGGTTCAAATTCAACCAGCATACAAAAATTTGATTTGATTACACTGGGAACGCAATGGCAAACCACCGAGAGTATATTTGCCGCTGCCGTCCGGAACCGGCGTTAAAAAAACTGTAGGCCCCATATATCAGACATATATACAGGGTGATTCAGAATAACCCCGTGTCCTTGCAAAGACGTGTTCCTGACTGAATTCTGAGACGATTTTTCCTCTACGAAAATTTTATCTGACGCTTACTTTTTGAGTTATTAAAGGATAAAGTTACCGAATTACAGGTCGTGTACAGAAGGTAAGCAGGGGCGGCGCACTCACCGCGCACTGACTACAAGGGGCACTCGTTCAACCATCTAAGGACATAGAGTTATTATGTTTCACATAATAAATGTCCGCGCGCGCACACACACGCACACACACACGCACACACTCTCTCTCTCTCTTTCTCTGTCACTTACCTTGCAGAGATTCGTTTTATTTATACGTCGTAACTTGACGGATGAATTTTCTCGAGTTAAAATGTTGCTTCTACGTTGAACCATAGTTTTAGGACGTACGAGTATGTAGCTGATCTAAAGATTTATAATTAGGACGTATGTAGACTCTAAAGATGGTAAGTCAGGCTGCGACTCTAGAGGCTACATTGGCTACAGCGTGCTAGAAAAGCAGGCATTATTGGTTAATTTGACATTACGAATGTCAAAATGTGTGCTTCGAGATTATTCACGCGCTGAATCATAAGGTTTGTTCGCGACGCGAACCTTCTTTAGTCTAGCTTACCACCTTTAGTCAACAATTACAAGAGGCCGATAAATCAGATTTCTATCATGTTACTCTGAATTCTGTCCGTTCCGTAAAACCTAAACCTGGTCGATTGTTGGCATCGAACTCGGTCTTCGCGTCGGACCACATCGGGTTGTGTATGTAACGTGTTTCTTATTTCTAGTGATTTCGAGTTGAATAATTAATCGGTACTAATTAATAATAGTAAATCGATAGAATAGTTCGTAAATCGTTCTTCGTAAACCATTCTTGTAGTATCGACTCGGGTATCGGTCAAGTGCGCGAATAAATCAGTGAGTGTTACAATTCTTCAGCTTTAAAACTTTTAAAGCTACTTGCTTTAAAAGAAAAACAAACTCCTGTTTCATTACTTGACATTAATTTGTCACATGGAAACGTGAAGTGTCTTTGTATTGCTTTTCCACGGTCGTGACGCGAGTCGAAATTTTAGTCCTATTTTGAATTTCTTCCAACTTCAATTAAACCTTATAAACCTGTTTTGATACTTGAATAATAGGATTTTAATATTACTTAATCTTCTGCAGTTTCTATTTAGAAAACTTCTTTTGAACTTAAAAATAGGAAATTTTCCAATAACTGCCAACAGGCTTAACGTAGAAGCTTAATTCATTAGTTTAGAACCTGTTATCAATCTCTAGAGTCTACATACGTTCTAATTATAAATCTTTAGAACAGCTACATACTCGTACGTTCTAAAACTATGATTCAACGTAGAAGCAACATTTTAACTCGGGGAAATTTATCCGTCAAGTTACGACGTATAAAGAAAACGAATCTCTGCAAGGTGAGAGAGAGAGAGAGAGAGAGAGCGCGCGCGCGCGCGTGGGCATTTATTATGTGAAACATAATAACTCTATGTCCTTAGACGGCTGAACGAGTGCCCCTTGTGGTCGCTCGCGTCAGACGGTGAGTGCGCCGCCCCTGCTTACCCTCTATACGCGACCTGTGATTCGGTAACTTTATCCTTTAATAACTCAAAAAGTAAGCGTCGGATGAAATTTTCGTAGAGAAAAAAATCATCTCAGAATTCAGTCAGGAACACGTCTTTGCAAGGACACGGGGTTATTCTGAATCACCCTGTATAATATCTAATATAGTTGTATATATGCCTGCGTATGTTTATGCGCGTGCGCATGTAATGGTGATGATAATGGCAATTTTATAAAAATTTGCATAACAACAATAAGAATAATAATAAGTTATAATTTTTTAAATTTTACAGCAAAGATGTACGACTACCTGTTCAACTACAACGAGCTATGGCGGCGGAAGCCGAAGCTGCACGTGAAGCACGCGCTAAGGTAAGACAATGTATAATATAAAAAAGAGGTAATTGTGCATATTAGGAGCGGTCGCATAGATTTCAATGACCTTGACATATGTTGTTAAGGTCATGATTCCGAGTCACCCTCAATACATTTTAATCGTTACTCATTATTTATTAAAAAGTTATAGAACAAAAAAGTTTAAGAAATAATATCTTTTCTAATTATTCTATTACATAAAATAAAAATTCTATTTTAAAATAAATCCCTCTCCTGCCTAAGGGCACACGACTTTCCATGAGAAATGAGTTCCATCCCACTTTCTTCCTGTCAAGGGACGATCGACTTTCCACGTGAAGCGAGTTTCACCCCACCTCCTCCTCTATTAAGGAGCTTTCTACGCGAAGTGAGGTCTACATATCTCCTCCCCCTGCCTAGGGGCGCACGACTTTGCACGCGAAACGAGTTCCACTTTACCGCCCCTTCTGCCTAGAGGTGTACGACTTTCTATGCAAAGCGAATCATAAGTAAAGGGGGAGGTTCACTTCACCTCTACTTATGATTCGACTGTCCAGGCTCACCCCGCACTTTCCCTAATTTGACTCCCCTAGACAGGGGGAGAGGTGAGATGAATCTCGCTTTATGTGGAAAGTTGGACGCCCTTTGCAGGGCGTCCCTAGACAGGAGGAGAGGTGGGATGGACTTCTCTTCGCGTAGAAAATTGTAAAATATTATTTAAAGCAGAAAATTCTTGTTTTATATACATTCGTCAACAAAATTATCACATAGATAAATTTATAAAAATTTCGCATAAATTCAAATAAGCGTAACTGCGAAAAATGGTCACATTTAAAAGTTTTTTATTTCATTCTCAAAGGTAAAGTCTGTATTTTACGAAACTTTCAATGGATTTTGAATTTATCCTTACCCTTACCTGGCATCTTTTCAAAAATAAGGACGTGTTTTGTCTTAAGAAATTTGCATAGAAATTTGACGCACTCTATAGGACGGAGTAAATTCTTTTCGCAAATATCATGTCGTAAAGTATGGACTTTTCTCTTACAAATTAAGAAAAAATTAAGCTTTTTATGATTTTTTTTCGAGGAAATACAACCAGGAGATATCAAATTTACCTATGCATTTCATTCAATTACCGTCAGCATTAGCATTACCCGATGCGCACCACGGGCAGTAGTGCCAGATTTTGGCTTGCGCTACCACTTGGTAACGCGTAGTGGGGGAAAAGTGGGGGTAGTTGCCGATAGCTATAGCTTCATAGCAACTACCCCCACTCTTCCCCCACCACGCGTTACCAAGTGGTAGCGCAAGCTAAAATCTGGCACTACTGCGGGGAGGTTGCCTGGTTGGATTTTGCGTGCGTGCGTGTGTGCGTGTATGTGTGTGTGAGCGAGGTGGAGACATGTGAGTATGTTTGCTCTTTAAAATTGTGTTTTTCCGCCTCATCTTCGAATGACCTCTTGTAAACGTGTACCCATATTGATTCAAGCTCTAATTAAAGCCTGAGGAATTTCCCACCATATTCGATTACGATGCAATGCTGCTTCCAGCAGTTTCTGCAAATTTGTTTGCGATTCCTCTAATCTTCGTAGTCTTCTTTATGACATCATATTTATCGTGATGTAGCACAACGCTCGCCAACATACCGCCAGAATTGCAATTAACTTTCTCGAAGAAAACAATATCGAGATGCTACCACATCCACCAATGAGCGCGGATATGAATTCCATTGAACATGTATGGGATATGATGGAAAGAAGACTACAAAGATTATAGGAAGTTATAGGAACCGCCAATAAATATTCAGCAACTGGAAGCAGTATTGCATCGAATATGATGGAAAATTCCTCAGGCTTCAATTAGAGTTTGCATCAATATGCGTGCATGTTTATAAGAGGTCATCCGAAGACGAGGCGGAAGATTCGCAAAATCCGACCAGCAACCTGTCTGTGTGCAGCGGGTAATGCTAATGCTGGCGGTAATTGAATAAAATGCATAGGTAAGTCTGATACACTGTATCTCCTCGAAAAAAATCGTACAAAGCTCAATTTTTTTCTAATTTGTAAGAGAAACGTCCATACTTTATGATGGTTACCATGACATTTACGAAAAAAAATTTACTTCACCCTGTAAAGTGCGTCAAACTATGCAAATTTCTTAAAAAAAAAACACTTCCTTATTTTTTAAAAGATGCCAGATAGGGGTAAGGATAGATTCAAAATCCATTGAAAGCTTCGTAAAGTATAGACTTTTGAGAATGAAAAAAAAACTTTAAATGCGACCATTGTCCGCGGATTTACGCTTATTTGACTTTATGCGAAATTTTGATATAAATTTACTTATACGATAATTTTGTTGACGAGTGTAGTAGAAAAGAGGCATCATTTTTCAAACTTTTTCTGTTAATAACTTTTTAATAAAAGACGAGCGCCAACCAAAACTTGTTGGAAGTTACTCAGAGTAGAAATGCTCGATCTAGGCAAAAGAATCGATTTTTTTAATCGACCTGAATCGCAACCGCGAGTATCGATTCATCAAAGGATTGAATGTCAAAAAATTGACTCGGTAAAAATCGATTTAAAAAATCGAGGCTAATTGCAAATTGCATATTATAGCTCATTTCATAAAAAAAACGATTTGCATATAGCCGGTCACAAAAAGGTTGTAATACTTTATTTTCGATGTATTTCGGAACTCATAATCAGCCTTATTCGTAGAGTGGTTGAACGTAAATGAGTGGATCTGTAAGTAAGAACTAATCGCTCGATGAGCAAGCTACATTCCGAAACTCATGGAAAAAAAAGTGCTACAATCTTTCTGTGACCAGCTGTACACGGAAGATCGATCTCTGAGTCTTAAGAATCGATTCGTTGATTTAATCGGAGCTTAAGAATCAATCTAAAAAATCGAGAATCGAAAGTAAAAGAATCGATTTTCTAAAAAATCGATTTTGAATCGAATATCCCTAACTCAGGGTTATGATCTTGACAACGTATGTCAAGATCAAGATCATCGGCGGTTGCTCCCCGTTTATGCAAATTTACCATTTATTTTAACTATATCCACAATTTCATGATTATTTTACTAGGTGATTGCCGCAGAAGGTGAACAGAAGGCCAGCAGGGCTCTACGGGAGGCATCGGAAGTTATCGGCGATTCACCGGCTGCTTTGCAGCTCCGTTATTTGCAGGTAATATAAATATTGGGTGCCGTCCACTTGGCACTATAAATGCTTTGAAGCATTTCACTGCAGTCTAATCGGAAGAAAGGATTTTACTAATTGATCAATGAAAGAATGCTTTGAAGCATATTTATATTGTCAAATGGATCTTACAAGGATTCACAACTGTCCGGAACCGAACTGATTCTCCATGAAATATGTTGAACGCAAAAATCTAAGAGACACATTTTTTTCTTATATATGCGTTAACTCATGTTTAAGAGTGAAACATCCCTTTGAAAAAAAAAATGGTATTTTTCTTTGAAGCTAAATATCGTCGGAAGTATTATATAAAAGATGGAAAGAAATTTTTTAAACAAAGTTGTACGGTTTCAAGGGTAGGTAGGGTAGACCGGGGACACAAAAGTAACATTTTGACTTTGAAGTATTATAACAGTTAAAATATAATACTTATATTAAAAAAATATGTATCTTTAGATATAGAATTTATTTAGATACAAAATTTTCTTTGGTTTAATTATTTTATGTAACTAGAAAAAGAGTTATGTTTGTTTAAAGACTATGAGGAATTTTGTTACAACCGTTCCAACCCCAGGGACGATAATAACGATTATAACAATAGAGGGGGATAATAGTAGAATTGTATGACTACATTTACCAGAGGTACGTAACACAACACATAAGTCATACTCTTTCTTGCAGCTGCAAGTATGACAAATGGATATCTGGTCCTTCAAAACTTCTTTAAATGTCTGTTTGTATAAAGACACTTCTTTTATAGTTTTTTATAGTTTTTCTCTTCTGTCTTGTGTTTTCTTGTTAATGGGATTCTATGAAGAAAAATACAAATAACATTGTATAAAATAATACTAAAATAAAATCAAGTAAGTTTGGAGATAATTGTAATGTTACAACTGACCCCAGGTATTCATGTACTATTGTCTCCTAATGATATTTTATGATTTATAATAAACTTTTTAAATAAAAATCTAGATAGAAAAATCAACCCAAATGTACAAACCATCAACGCAGATAATCATTAAAACATATTATGATAATATACTATATCTTCATTATAAACAAAAAAAAATTTTAGATTTTGTGCACGCAATAAAACTTACTTGATGCATGAAAAAAGTAATTTTTGCTCCTGCACTCGTGCATGATTCCGCGAGAATCAGCATGTAACGAACGATTCAATGCAGATCTGTCTACATAATTTTATCATGCAGCCGCATACACATATCTATTATAGTTTAAAAAATATTAACGATGTTACTATTGCCCCGTGTTACTTTTGTTCCCGGTCTCCCCTACTTTAAAGTTGAGGGAAAAAAATTAAAAAAATTTTTTTGTTTAAGAAAATTGCCCCCGCCACCCTTAATTTTCTTTAATTTTTCAACATTTTTTACCAAATTAAAGATTATTTTTTTTCAAATTCAATATAAGGGAGATCGGGGATAGTAAATTAATTTTTCGGTTTCGAAGTTTTTACAGACGAAATTAAGAGATTTATCGAAAAAATGAATTCTATACCAGTTACTACATTTGGCTATCTAATAACATTTTAATAATAAGGGGAAACTGATAACTAATATGAAAAAAATGCATTTTTCTAATGCATTCCATCTGGTTCAACTAGCTCCGGGATCGGGGTAAGATGACTAATGGTATGGGGTAATTTGACTAACATTATTAAAATAAAGATTAATGTATATTTTAAGATACATCTTAACTACATATTAACGAAACTTTTATAAAAATGTATTTTAAACACAAACATATTTATAAAACTTTTAAAAATTTATTTTGAACACAAACATATTCATAAAATAAACAACATTTATAACTTTGTACCATGTTATTAGATAAGTAATTTATCTAATCCGAATCGTCATCCGAATTGCAGTGGTAACAAACATAATACGATAAGTTACCCTTTATGCATTTAGAATGTGCCCGCATGTTGCATTTCATGCACTGTATCCACTCTTCTCCTGGAATACTTTTTAAATAACTTTTTGTGCAAACGAGACACATTTCATCATTTGTCTCATTCGAGGATGAAGAATTTAGTTTATTCAGAATCTTCCTTGTAACTTTTTCAACCAAAGGATGTTTTCCTTTACTTGGATTTTCTTTATTTTTTCCTTTTCTTGTTGTCTTGCATTTTCGTTCGATTTCCTTTCTTTCTTGTTGATTCCACTTTTTTTCTTGGATTATCGAGCTTCTGTTTCATGAGTGCATTTTTTTCTGGCGAATCTGTACATATTGCACTAGTACGTTTACGAGTATTAAATAATAACAGAGTTAATTTAAATATTTTAAAAATATTACATATTTAGAAATTCTAACAATGAGTACGTATATGTATACAGTCACAAAGCATATAAAAAACTATACAAATTTTTTACTCAAAACAGTTTTTCATATATCTTATTGTTTCGACAATAATTACTTACGCACATGAGCATAAATAGTGTATATATGGAAGCGTTTATAATTAATTCTCGAAAATGATATATGTTGTAATATAACTATATTATAAATGATTGAAAGAAAATAATCTTTAATTTGGTCAAAAAATTTGAGAAAACTGTAGATGATGGGGGTATTTTATTAAACAAAGAATTAAAACCTCTACGGGGAGAGTATTCTTTCTGAAGTAAACACTTTCAGCAAACTAAGGTCTTCTCTAGCCAAGAAACTATCAAACCTGGTATTCCTAAAACGCTGTAGGGATAATAACATCATTCCGAAGTTCCTGCAACTCAAGGACCACCTAAGAATCCACAAATCCAAAAACATCCTCCATAAAACCAGCCTCATCCTCATCAAAGAACGCATCCACTTCACTAAGTCACAAATTGCCCAGATCTCCCATAAAACTCCACCTGCTCCTATCCGCCACGTTGTGGCATAACATATGGCAAACCCTAGATCGTATTACATACGAACAAGCCATGAAGACCCTTACACAATCCTCTGAAAGAGACAAACAAAAATACATAAACCTTGTTCCCCCCTCATAAAAAATCACAACCCTCCCTACTTAACGTCAAGAACCTATCCAACAAAGACCTATCCCAAGACACTATCTCTGCGCTTGCCAAAGGCCCTAACTTCGCAGTGGCATCTAGAAAGGTTCCAAAAGAAGAGATTATCAGCCAAATAGAGTCAACCATCTACCGACTCCCATCAGAACAAGCAGATAACATCCGCAGACAGATAACCAATATCCTCTCCAAAGTCAAACCGCCTCCACCAAATATCACTAGACAAGAGCGATTGGCCCTCCAAGACCTGAACAGGGCTGAACACAGACATCGTGCTTCCAGCCGACAAAGGCAACACGATAGTAGTCATAAATACATCAGACTACAAGAAAAAGATGAAGAACCTTCTCTCGGACAAAGCATACAAAAAACTTAATAAAGATCCGACTAATCGCACAAAACACCAAGATCCTAGTGGAGAAAAGCAACATTCCCAGTAAAACCAAATCGACATTAAAATTTACAAATCCTCTCCCACCAAGACTATACGGACTACCAAAAATACACAAACCAAACATCTCCCTCAGATCAAGTTGTCAGCGCCATACACTCCCCGACGTATAGCCTATCCCTCTTCCTAGCACAAACACTACAACCCCTCACTGGAAAAACTGAATCACACATCATTAACTCGACGGACTTCATAAGAAAGATCCAAAAGATCCGACTACATCCCACAGACCTGCTTGTAAGTTTCGACGTAGAATCCCTTTTCACACAAGTCCCAATAAAAGACACACTGAACATAATAAAGGCCTCACACAAAGTCCCCTCCGACTTCATCCCGCTAATAGAGAGAGCACTGCTTAACAATCACTTCTCTTACAACAACCAATTTTATGAACAAACTTCAGGAGCGGCAATGGGCTCTCCTACTTCTCCTGTAATCGCCAACATCTTCATGGAGCACTTCGAGAAAGAGGCCCTCAGAAAAACACCCAAAAAGCCAGAAGTTTGGTTCCGCTATGTAGACGACACATTTGTGATATGGAGACATGGCAGAGTAGAACTCCGTAAATTCCTTACTTTCCTCAACAAACAACATCCAAATATCCACTTCACTATGTGTGGATATAGAGGAAAACGGAAAACTCCCCTTCCTAGATGTTCTTGTCTCTAAGAAAGCTGACGGTACCTTAGGCCATCAAGTGTACAGAAAACCAACACACACAGACAGGTACCTACATGCCGAATCGCACCACCACCCAGCACAAAAATAGTCAGCAATTAACTCATTAGTACATAGAGCTTTCACCATCTCTGACAAAGAACATCTACAGACAGAACTCAACCACCTGAAAGTAGCCTTACAAAAAAATGGACACGACAAAAAAGACATAACCAAAATAATATCAATAAACATGCAAACAAGACAACGGTCCCTGACACACAACCACACGAAAGGATACTATCCATCCTTCCATTTGTTAAAGGAACAACAGACTTCATATCAGACGGATCGGCAGGATATTAAACAAACACAACTATCTTCAAACCACCCAAAAAGATAGGACAAATCTTAAGAAATCCTAAAGATCAAAGATCTCCACTCAGCTCGGCAGGAGTATACAAAATACCTTGCTCCTGCGGGCAAGTATACATTGGAGAAACCGGGAGAATGGTCAACTTACGGATAAAAGAACACCAACGTGATGTTAGGTTAAAACACGCCACGCAGTCGGCATTATCAGAATACAACATCGAAACAGGATATCAAATACAGTTTGATAAAACGACCACAATAGTCAACATTATATCATACTTTCCAAGAAAGTATAGAGAAGCCATAGAGATACAACGCCCTAACAATCTAAATACAGATAATGGTTACAACATAAATAAAATATGGAAGACCATTTTACTGAAGATCGACCGACTTCTTCTCCTTCCCTCCACCCACAATTTTTTTCTTCCTCCCCCTACCATTCCAACAAGCAGCGTAATATAAAGGGAATGACCCGAGAGAGCAGCCTAGTATCAGGCTGCTTCTCGCCCTGATGAAGTGGACTGCAAGGTTCACGAAACGTTGGCATTCCAGGAATGGATCTGAACACGGAGAAAACCCGCGAAACGCAAGATTGTCATATAGGAAACACCCGTGGAAGCCTCAAGAATATTATAAAGAATTAAAAAGTTTTTTGTTTGCAACTTTAAAGTACTCTTGAAACCGTACAATTTTTGTGTAAAAAATTTTGGTAATTATGCAGTATAAGGAACTATCCTCCAGTGACCTTGACCTTGACACATCAAGGTTATCAAGATCATCACCCTGAGTGCTTTTCAACAGGTTTTAGCCATCGTACATTATTTATTATAAAGTTATTAACAAAAAATGTTTGAAAAAATAACTCTTTCATTCCCTGCACGCATGTACACAAAAAATTGATTACGATGGCTAAGGGGTTTTTCATCATGAGTTAGCGAACGTATAAAAAAATACATGTATTTTAGAGTTTTGTGTTTAACAACATATTTCATGGAGAATCAAATCGATTCCGAACAGTTGTGAGACGTCCCTTGTTAGCTATTGTTAATCAATTTTTTGTGTACATGTGTGCAGGGAATGGAAGACTTATTTTTTCAAACTTTTTTTATTTGAACCATGCTATTATTTTTACCGTTACTGATAATTATTCACAATAGAGGACTCCTCCCCTAATGACCTTGAGCTTGACGTATGTTCAAGGTCATGACCCTGAGTGACCACAAGTTTTAGTCATCGCTCGTTATTCGTTATAAAGTTATTGACAGTCAAAGTTAGTAATTATTTCTCTTCTTTACATGAAAAGTCAGATAACTCTTGGCAGGGAAAGAGATACGAAGTAGACCAATTATAGAAATACGACATTTCACATGAAGCGAGTTTCATCCCACCTCTTCCTTTGCCAAGGGACGTCCGACAACCCACGTGAAGCGAGTTTCATCCTACCTACCCCAGGAGTGTTTAACTTTCCACGCGAAGCAAGATCTACCTGAATGAAAAATTGTATGCTTCTTGGTAAGCGAGGAGGTGAGGTGGAACTCATTTCATGTATTCACGAACTATTCAGTCGTGCGCCCTTTGGCAGGAGGTAAGTGAGGTAGCATTCGCTTTGCGTTGAAAGTTGTGCGCCCCTAAACAGAGGGAAGGTGGGGTAGAACTCGCTCTGCAAGAAAAGTTGGATGCCCCTTGGCGTTTGGAACTCGCTTCGCGTAGAAAATCGTAAAATATATTTTAAAGCAGAAAATTTCTGTTTTATATAGTAGAAACGAAACATCAATTTTCAATTTTTTTTTTATACTAACTTTTTAACGAATAACGAGCGACGGCTAACTTGTTGGAGGTCACTCAGGGTTATGACCTTGACAACATATGTCAAAGTCAAGATCATTGTTGAGATGTTCCCTAATGTAAATAATTACCCCATTACATTTATGATAATAATTTGATAATGACGTTGCAATTTTTTATGACTATAATTATAACTAACTAAACGCTGAAGTTGCACTAAGATTAGGAAAGTCACTTTGAAGAATAATTTGTCACCATTATGTATTATTTACTGAAAAAAATAATAAGGTACCTGAGCCGAATAAGGCCCAGCACCGAATAAAACCTACTTTTACATTGATTATTTTAAAACTCGTTTTAAGCCCGCATTATATGCTTAAAAGATGTGTCATACGAACTAAATAAAAAGAGATTAAAGAATTGGAATCGGTAGCAACACGTTTGCTTAATATAACAAAAACTTGTGTATATGAGCCATTTTTATAACAATCCGCTGCAAAATTCACCAGTATATAATGTTTCATAATTTATTACAATTTATTATTATGTTATTCAACTTCCTAATTATGGAAAATAACTAATGAATCAATTTTTTTAAATAAGTATAAGTATTTTTTTAAAACAATTTACTTATTAAATAAGGCCTACTTATGTGATTATTATTATAACTATTATATTATTTGTTTGTTATGTGTGGAGTTTACGCCAGAGAATAACGATTTTCAATGCTGCTATTTTTTAAGAAGTCAAAATTGCAAATTCGAATTGCTAGAAATTTCCAAAGATTAAAGAATTAATTATAAACAAAATTAAAGATAATTGTAATATTCAAGAGTAGAGTAGAGTCCGAAGGAATTTCCTTTCTATAATTAATAATTATTTTAAAACTGAAAAAGATAATATTTACTTTCTTTGTTATTTTTAATGTTTTTAATTTGGGCCTTATTATGTTCATACACACACACACACACACACACACACACACACACATATGTAATAAAGCCCAATATCAGAATTTAATAAAACTCTTTTTTCGTTCATTTACACATATTCTACATAAACAATATATTTTTCTTTTTGGAGTGAATGAAATGAAGATTTGATTTCTCACTTAGTTTATTTCAATATCCTCATAAATAAAATTTTAAAAAATAAGTAAAAGTATGTTGAGAAGGGCTACGAACCAAAATAACAAATTTAATATACGCATGCTAATATCAAGATACAAATAGACTACATCGTAACTTACATTGTACCTTAACCATTATATACCATATATGTTTAACATTGATAATGACTCGAACGGGGTCGAAACATCTGTTCATTTTAATGTAGTTTTTTTTTGTATCTTGGCATTAGCACACGTATATTAAATTTGTTATTTTGGCTCGTAGCCCTTCTCAACTAATACTTTTATTTAATTTTATTAGTTGAGCCATATTACATTATTAAAAAAAAATTAGAATAAGTTAGGTAGGCCTTACTCGGCTCAGGTACCTTATAAGTAACTTGTAACACATCGAGGAATTATTTTTCTCGTTACAATAGTAACGAATAAAAGTAACTGTAATAGTTACAAATAAAAGATTTATACTTTTTTCAGTAATGAGATTAAGGAGTGATTTTTTCAACCCGTCACAAAAATACCGTCACAAAAAATTTGCAAATTATCATTACTAAATTTTTATTATAACAAAGTAACAATAAAAAGTAATTGCGTTACAAGTAACGCGTACTTCTATTACCCGCGTGCACTGTGTGTGCATATAATTATTCTGTCAATGCATTGGAAATACACTGGAAAGAATTAGGGAAAAAGTCTTTTTACAAGTTTGAGCATAATTGAAACATATTTTTTTAATTGTTTATAAATTTTTTATTAAACCAAATATATGCCGTTTTGATCGAAATATATGATTTTCGCTCATTTTTAAATTTGATTGAATGCGTCAATATCGTTCAAATCTATGATCAATCTATTTCAAAATGTTGTATGAAACAGCACCTTTCCAACGATATATAACCTAATACGTTACACAATAGTAGTACGTAAAAAATTGACTAGATCTCCATCTGTCGGCTATATATAAAAAGACTTTTTCCTTAACCCAATATTATTATTGGTATATATGTTGAATATTTTATCAATTAAACATTGTTGTCATTTATATCTTTGAACCGTTTCATTTTTGCTCTTTTCTTTTAATTTTAGACACTGAATACAATATCAGCGGAAAAGAACTCTACCATTGTGTTTCCGCTACCAATCGATATGATGACATACTTTATGAAAGCTTTACCGAGGGAATAATTATGTGAAAAAGAGAAAGAAAGAAAGCGTACGTCACGTTTCGTAGGATATAACGACCGAGAAGAAGAATAACAATTTTTCTGAAGCTTTATGAGGAATGTTTGGCGATTTATTCGTATATTTGACATGCTTGCATATTACATCCATAGGCTGTGTTAGGGAAGTGCGCTATCAGTGCTATTACAGTTTGTTCTCTTTTTACTGGCAGTGCAACCATAAAATGAGTGCGATGGACAAACGTACTGTATCAAAATATCAATATACTTAATTACAGGTTTTGATCAATAGCAGTAGCAATAGTTCTTCCAAAGAACTTATTTGTTTCTAGATCTAAGAACTACTTTTTACGCTTCTTTATTCGACGCTGTATTGCACTGCAACTGCCTTATCTCGAGAGCTACAGTAATCGCAGTGGAAATATGGTTATCATTTATGCAGGAATGATGGCAACGTTACCTCATAGAAATAACTCGTTAGCGGTACCGTTCATTTTCCTAAAATGTAATTCGTTATCGTTACTAGTTATTGATTTACAAAAGTAACTCGTTACCGTTACCATCACTCAAAATGAAACGAGTCGTTACTTTTTTGTTACTTTTTTTTCTTGACACAGAATATTATAGCGTTCATTGTAGGATTCAGTGCATAAAATCGTTGTACACAAATCGACATAAAAATGTATGTTTAATAAAAATATAGAAACGAGTTAAACCGCGAAATCCTCAATACATTTTATTATGCTATTCGATAAAATATACTTTAAGCATTTTATCGATTGATAAAATGATATATATATATCATTTTAAATCTGACTGCGGATTATTCATACTAAAATATTATTTATGCTGAAATATTTTCAATAACATTTCAATCATTTTAATTTCTCATTTCAACGATCTTATAGTATATTTAAGAGATTTCAACGATTTATTTCCATCAGGGATGTGTCCATTATTCTATCTTTATTGTCAGGGTGCATTCGAGGAGCACGTTATCAGCGCGTATAATACTATCCTTGTCTCACGTCTAATGGACGATGAAGATAAAATGACACAAATAGCGCTAATAGCATCTCCCCGAATACAGTCTAGATGTAAAACAAGGAAAGAAAGATGCGATAGCGCTAGTAGTACGCTTCCCGAACGCAGCCATAGTATAAATAGACGAAACAATTGCCTCCTTATCTCTATAAAAAAAAATGATGCCAGCGAATTGTGCGACTACATGCGATAACAGGAATGTAATACCATCGATATAGAATGGATTGAGTGCCGCTTTAGACGGCTCGTCGTCTGCACTAAAGTGAGTGGTACAGTTCTCGCAATTAATGCTTTCCAATCCTGTTTTTTTATTGCATGTTACTTTGTTGGTTATTTTGATGTTCACGATTGTACACATACGCACACACAGTTCATATACAGGGTCTCAGAACCACCAAATATTTCATTCGCAGATAGAGCGGACTAAACTGAGTCGAAAAATCCTCTATCATTTTACAATTTTCTCAATAGTTAACGAAATATCACGCTTTAAGATAGCCGAATACGCGTGTCCGCCCGGCCTACTACTGCCAAGTGATGCCTATCGATCGCTTGGCACGCGGGTCACGAGGATGGCCTGGCAAGCAGGCCGTTTGAGTTTTGACGTTCGGCTATCTTTAAAGATTATAATATATCGTTAACTATTTCGACTCAGTTCAGTCCGCTCTGTTTACACAAGAACGCTTTGTCAATAATTGCGAGACACTCTGTATATTAGGATGGGTTGAAAAAAGTGAAGTGTTAATTGGAATCTAATAGTGCGCAATAGTTATTATATTTTACGCCTAGAAGAAATGTGCAAAACCTCGATCAGGTCGGATTATATCTTCTGTTCTGCCAAGAGTATCAAAGTTTCAAATTTAACTTAAAAATTATGAAATGTTAATTTCTGAATCGGCGATATCCTTTTGCTTTGTGTCTACTATTCGTCACGTTTGATTTCAAATGTGAGGATAAACACTATTTTAATTCGCCATTTTGGATACTGAATTCGCAATTTTGAATCAACGAGTTCCCTAATTGGCTGTAAGATAATACTGAGAGAGGAGATTTTGGGGAATAAGAGAACAAATGTGCCTGAGGGGATATAGGAAATTCGGATTCGGACCCTCGTCTATGTATTGGCAAACCTTCCTGAGGGGCAATCTAATAATGAATTCGGTTGGATCGATTCAGAAATTAACATATATTCATAAATTTTAAGTTAAATTTGAAAATTTTGACACTCTTGACAGAAGAGAAGATATAATCCGACCGCATCGGGATTGTGCACATTTCTTCTTGGCAATATTAACTTTGCGCATTATTAGATTCCGATTAACATGGCTTCACTTTTTTCGACCCACCCTAATATACAGGGTGTCCCGCAATTATTGGTAAAGCATTCTTGTGTAAACAGAACAGACTAAACTGAGTCGAAATAGTTAACGACATATTATAATCTTTAAAGATAGCCGAACGTATCATATATTTTATTCACATATATTTTATATATATACACTATATATGTATAATATACATATCCATAGCCCATGTATGATGAACACTACTTTATTTGGACGTACGATGTCGAATTGTTGCAATCTCAATTAGAAGCGGACATAGTCTCAAACGAACAGATTAAGGAGATGCTGGAGTGGCCAAATTGTCTGGACTTTGCAGATCAATATAAATCTCCAAATTTACTGAACGGAATCAAAAATCCTTTTACAGGATTAAAGACGCAAAATTTGGTAGTGCTGCAATAGTGCTACAAATTTTATACTAAAATCGAAAAAAAGTTAAAAACTTACTTTTTTTTTAACTCGTGTGTAGAGCTGTCATCTGACATAGAAATTTCCTTAATACAAAAATTTTATAACTCGTATGGATCAAACGGCAATGCAGCACTAAGCGTATTACGTGCACAAACAATACTGAATTTATGAAACTAACAATAAGATTAAAAGCTTAAAAAGAAAGATTTATATCGATCTGCAAATGACGTGTATACGAACGCTGAGCGAAGACTCGGAATGAAGAATCGTAAACAAAGCAATAATTGTGTCTAGCAGCAGGTGTTCGATCTTGTAAGAGATGACGTTGCAATATATTAGATAAAGACAGATGAATGCATTTGAGTGAGACACAACGGTATGTATTCTTATAATAAATATAAGAAATAAATGAAAGATGTCTTTATATAATTAAGTTGAAGTATACCAAACTTGACGTGCAAAAATCTAAAATTTTGCACACGTCAAGTTTGATATACTTCAACTTCATTATATGTATAAAGAAATTAAATATTTCTCTCTCTATGGTAACTCGATTTACTGAAAGAATCATCTTAAAATGAACATTATTGTGTCCCAATTGGACCCAAGTTAAAACGGACACATAATAATCCCAATTGAACACAAATTTATGAAAAAAAAATTTCCTATGAACGCTAATCCTATGATACAATAGCAAATTCTTTTTGCAAATATCACAAAACTATTTGCAGGTATAACCTGCATTTCTAAATTCCATCTGATATATCGTGTGTGTCTGCAAGATCTGCGAGTGATCTTATTACCTTTGCGGACTGTTGAACTAATTTCGATTAATGTTTTATGATTGGTTTGCTGATGAGAACTTCAAAGAGAATTGAAACGTTCAAATCTTGGATTGATAAAGACATCATACGGAGTAAATTAATCATTCCAATTTAATTTGCGCATCCCCTCACGCGCTGACTGTCATTAGCATTAAATTTCTTCATTGTTGTATTTTTTAAAGATTGAGTGTATAAAAATTTTTCATACTGTAAAAAATTTTTATGCATAATTACAACATTTTGTGCATAATAAAAGTATTATTATGAATATTGGCGAGCGAGAGACACCGGTGTATCTCATTCGTACTAGTAACAAATGTGTGAGACAGCGAAAGGACACCGCGAGCCGGCATCACGTCCAATTACGCTTTCTCTCTCAATCGTACGCCTTGCGCTAAGGACAGAATATCGGAGTGACCCCCACTACTTTCTCCCTTCGCGCTCCTTGCCTCCTCCGCGCTTCCAGTAACACGTACGTGTGCGCTTCGGTACGAGTGTGTGGTGCCGCGCGCCGAACGCCGGAGGACATCATTCCTGCCGGTGCGTGTACGCAAGGTAGGAATGATAGGACGTATTATGTATTAGAAGCAAAATTATAGTGTTTGTTGCTGTCGGTAATTAACATTCATTCATATTCTTTTTTTAAATCACAATGCTCTTTACCATTTAATTCTTCAATATACTTTTTTCAATTAGAAGTTATTAATTTGACTCCTCACCCCGAATCCGGTTACTTTATACTTATAAGGTCTGTTTTTTTATTCCTGCACTTTTTGAACTAATTCACACGATACAATAAATTGAAATGGAACAGAGATATACGTTTATTTTATTTCAACTTATTGTACTGTGCATCAATTCAGACAGTGCAGGAATAAGAAACAAATCTTTAGACATCAGTATGACAATTTTCCTAACTTAAATAATCATCAACTTTAATGCTTAATAACTCGCTTCGTGATGCAGACCGCTGAGTTTTTTTTACCAAACTTCCATTCTTTCGTTTCATGCAAAAACACAGCGAATGAGTACAATTTCGTCAATATTAAAGAAGAAAAGATTAAAGTAAACACTTTTGTTCGTTTCAACTTGTGTGAGATTGGGACTGTATCCAATTGAAACCATTATTTGTCCGTTTTAACTTGTGTCCGATTGGAACTGTGTCGGATTGGGACCATCATGTATTCGTTTCAATCTGTATCTGTTTGAGATTGTGTTCGATTGGCACATTCTGTTGTATTGTTCGATCTGTTTTGTGCGCATCTGGGACTCTCCCGGTTTTCCTTTAGGTGGAGGTGCCAAAAAGAGATACGAAGATTACTTCCATTTTTCAAATGGAATTTATATGATCTTCTATACATAATGTGATCCTTCTGATTATTCTACATATAAAAGTATTATATATAAAAGTTAGAAATATCGAAAAACCAATAATTTATTTTTACTTTATTCTGGCATATATTGATATGAAATATTAAATATCTCGTAAACTATTAACCTTTTGGTAATCGTAATTTAATACTTTTATGAATAAAATAATGAAATGAATCAGTGATGTAAAGAAAACACAGTTTATTTTAAAAAATTATTCACTTTGCCTACATATTTTTTTTAAAGCAACTATGCGTTTTCTTTATATCAATTCATTTCATTATATTCTGTTCATAAACAAATTTCTGATGATTAACATCTATATAACGCAGATGTCCAGGGACGTTCTAAAGAACATTCCAAGAATGTCCCACTGTTCTGAGAATGTCGCAGGAATATCTCTGGAATAAAGTGTGCTGTATGGGCGTGTAACGTGTTATCATCTGATTAACGCTATGGAATATAAGAATATAAAATATTCCATTGCGGCAGACTAAATCAGAACAACCAATCAAATATTTGCTCCAAAGTTAATGGAGTGCACATAGTAACAATCAGGTTCTTTTTCACAATTTAGGGCAACGTTTTGATTGGTCAAAGAATAACTGCCATGTTCAAGATGACTGCGCATTCTTGGGAATGGAATACCTTATATTCTTATACCATGATTAATGCGAGAGTCGGAAGTTTGTCACACCATAATGCCGAAACTGAAAAG